TTGCCTTCCTAGCTGTGCTAAGTGCTGAGAATTCAGCTACGAGCACACAGTACTTACAATCCAATGGAAGGTCTATGAATAATTAGATCTTGGCATCGTGGTATCAGAAATGGCTTTGGGGTTCCAAGAAAATGTCCACATAATATGAAAGTTTTCAGCAAGGCAAAAGATTTTACTTCTGCAGAAGGGTGAGCAGACCCTATAAATCCAGCAAGCAAACTCTCAGTGGCAGCCCTGTTCCTTAATGCAAAGGGGTTCTGTGCCTCACTCTGAGTGCTCAGAGCCTGGCCTCACATCCTCACACAGCTGGCTAACTCAGTGGGGCAGCTGATAAGCAAAGATTTGAGATCGGGATGTCACCTCATGCACATTCTTTCACCTTGGAAGATGCCAAGGTGGCTTGGGGGGTGTGAGGGGGAGAGAATTTTTTTTTTTTTTTTTTTTTTTTTTTGGTTTTTTGAGACAGAATTACTCTGTAGCTTTGGAACCTGTCCCAGAACTACCTCTTGTAGACCAGGCTGGCCTCGAACTCACAGAGATCTGCCTTCTTCTGCCTCCCGAGTGCTGGGATTAAAGGCATGAGCCACCACTACCTGGCTAAGGGGGATAGGATTTCTGCCAGATGATGTCTTTGCTAATTCCTCTAAATATGGACCCCTCTTAGCCTCAGTTAACCGTTTGGTGGAAAAGGCAGTCCATCTCATTTACATTTTGTACATGCAGGACTGTTATGGGGAAGGAAACAGGGATGATGGGAGCAGGAAGTTCCTTGGCCAAACCCAGACAGCCCTCTACCACTTCCTTCATGAGGCTCCCCCCAGAGCATGTCTGGAAGTTGGTGTGAAAGTAGTTCTGGGAGACCGGACTTTGTTGTTGGTTTATATCTGCAACTTCAAATGCTAGTCCAAGAGAGGCCTGAGCATAGCAATGGGTTACGAGTACCATGGACCAAATCCCATCTTCATGCTTGGGTGGCCAGCACTTTACTGACTGAGCTCTGCCCTCAAACTCACATTTTACATTTTTCAAGATACTTAAAGCTCGGAGTTGAATTCCCTAAATGACTACCATGCTTCTGTGCCCCCAGACCCGTTTTAGAGCCATTCTGAGCAGATCTCCACCTCCCTCCGTTAAACTGTGACTATATATCCATATTTAGTTGTCACAGCAGTGTCTGAAGCTGGGTAATTTATAAGAAAGGGGGTTTATTTTGGCTAAATTTCTGAAGGCTGGGTTGTCAAAGAGAATGGGACAAGGCCTCATTCTTCTCCTGGTGGAAAAGAGAAAGACAAGTAGGGGTGTGTGGCAGAGGTGAATTGTGAAGGGTGGCTTCACCTATTTTTAAAAAATATTTTAATTATTTTGTGGTCTGGATGTTTTACCTGCATGTGTGTCTGTGTACCACATGCATGCGGTGTCCACGGAGGTCAGAAGAGGACGCTGGAGCCCCAGGAACTGGAGTGACAGATAGTTGTGAGCTACCATGTGGTACTGGGACTGAAACCCAGGTCCTCTGCAAGAGTAACAAGAGCTCTTACCCAGGAGTCATCTCTCCAGCCCCCCCACCCCGGGTGGCTTCACGTTTTAAGAACCCAGCACCATCATGGTAACTAATCCCTTGCAACCAGTGATGAGGACACTAATCCTGATGCCTAGTCACCCCTCCACAGACCCCCAACAACCCTCCCAGCAATGGCAATTAAGTTTCCATATAAGTTTTGAGGATACAAACCATTTTCAAATCAGAATACGAAGGGGCCAGACCACGCAATGCCATTGTGAAGGACCCTGTGAGTCAAAAAAAAAAAAAAAAAAAAGGAATTAGAGGTCCCAGAGTTCATCCCCAAAGTTTTTTTGGGTGAAATTCCTAATCCCCACCTTCTTCTTCAGCATAAGAAGCCCACATCAGCGGATTCTCACATCCCCTGACACTCAGGTAAGACTTCACAAGAAATGCAAATGACGGGTCCACCCTGGATTCTGCTCACTTATAATAATTTCACTGCCCCAGAGTCACCAAGGAAACATGGTACAATGCAAGATAATTTAAAATTTTATTTTTATTTATTTTATGTATTTATTTATTGTCGTGGTTAAGATACAATCCCTGTTAATTGTAGGGGATCCATCTGTTAAACAAGAGCCAGGTGTGGTGTGTCATTCAAGTTGTTCTGAGTTGGATGGAGTTGGGAGGGGCCCTGAGAGCTGTTGGGTTAGACCAGCCAGGGCAGCACACCAAGGCCAGCTGGACTGTGACCGAAAAAGCATGGGATAAAACCGGACTCTCTGAACATGGCGAACAATGAGGGCTGATGAGACACCAAGGACAATGGCAGGGGGTTTTGATCCTACTTAATGTGCTGGCTTTGTGGGAGCCTAGCCAGTTTGGATGTTCACCTTCCTAGATATGGACGGAGGGGGGAGGACCTAGGACTTACCACAGGGCAGGGAACCCGGACTGCTCTGTGGACTGGAGAGGGAGGGGGGGGGAGAGGAGTGGGGGGAGGGGGAGAAGGGTGGGAGGAGGGGGAGAAGGGTGGGAGGAGGGGAAGGGAAATGGGAGGCTGGGAGGAGGTGGTAACTTGTTTTTTGTTTATGTTTTTTTTTCTTCTTTTCGCAATAAAAAAAATTAAAAAAAATAGATTTGTGAAATTATCAAGGAAAAAAAAAGACTCTATCTCAAAGACAAACAGAAGGAAGGACAGGAAAGGGAAAGTGGGGAAGGCAAGAAACACATTTAGCAAGAAGACAAAGCTAAAACTCCTGCCTAAGTCATGAACCTCCCTTTTCTTCTCTATTAGAATTGGTCACAAAAGTTGTGAGCTGGTTTTATAATTATTAGATTGTGGACATTACCATGCTTCCTACTGGCATGTGGCATGACCTAGGTGGCTATGAGCACCCTATCACACTTTATCCGGCAGTCTGCTAGGAGACACCATTTGTGCTTCTAAGCCCTGCTTGCCCAGAACAGGCCACGATGAGTTGCCTGGAATGCATGCCTCTGTGAGTCTTTCTTCAGGTAGAGTATGTCTCCAGTGGTGTGGATAGTCCTCTGTCCGCACCTCTGTTCTCTTTGGACATTGTGTTAAAGTTTCAGTTAGGTGTTTCTTATGGTGTGAGTATCAGAGGGTTGTTAGTGTAGAGGGTTGGTGTAATGGGCATTGAGAAGCTTGGGGGTTAGGAGTCAGAAAAAGGACACTAATATAGTTCTGAGATCTCAAAGTCCACTTCCTCCAACAACAGCACACCTATCAGGAGGCTACCTTCCTAAGAGTTGCACTCCCTATGGGCCTATGTGGGCCATTTTTATTCACATCACCACATGTGAATATGTCATATGTCACCACATATGACAGAAGGAGGCATCTTGATGTGTGTGTGTGTGTGAGAGAGAGAGAGAGAGAGAGAGAGAGAGAGAGAGAGAGAGAGAGAGAACTCTGTAGGCAAGGCTAGCCTCGGACTCAAAGATCTGCCTTCCTGTGCCTCCCCAGTGTTGCGACTAAAGAGGTGTGCACCACCTTACCTGGCAAGAGCATGTATTTTTAATTTTGAAATTTTTCTTATATCTTATTTGTGAGTGTGGATGTGTACATGAATACGTGTGCCCTGGTACTTCTGTGGAGATCAAAGGACAACGAGTGAGAGAGAGTCAGTTTCTCTTCTCATCAAGTTGGTTGCTGAGAGGGAACTCAAGTGTCTTTACTGAGCCATCCCACTGGTCCCAAGAGTACATAGAATTTGAAGCCAGACAAACCTGATCTCAAGTCCTGACTCAGACACTTCTTTGTTGTGGCTATTTATTGCTTCTGTGGTTTTAAGCGAGTTGTTTAGGAGCCGAGGATCTTCTCTGCTGTATTATGTGGGTGGCTAGCTAGCAGTGGTCTTGTAAGGATCCGTCAGCAAAGGCTTGTAGGTGTTTGCCTAGGTCCCATCGTAGGTATTCAAGAAGTGAGACCTATGAAATATGTTGGCTAAAGACGCAAATTTCATTTTGCACAGAGAGTTATGAAAATGACCCTAACTTCACGAAAGTGACTTTGATCCAAATGTCATCTCATCTCTGAGACCTATGTTAGTTATATAATGGACCACTCTCCGGCAAACCTTAATGCATTGTAAAAACCAAAACCCAAAGCAAAACAAAACAACAAAAGCCAAACCAAGATGCATCACATCTTAAGGCAGAAGAACTGCATTGAAGATCTCATTTGCCCCTTACTTTGTGATGGACAGTGACTGAACCTTGGCTCCTTATTTATAAAATGTGCTCACAGCCTGTGTCCCTGTGCCCACCACAAAATGACAGTATTTAAAGCAGCAGCATAGAACAGAGATCTGAAAATCATAGTTACAGGCTTTAAGAAAAATTGTAACCAGCAGAGAGAGAAACACAGATACCGTTCATGAAAAACCAAAACAGTCACTTGTGTATTTTGACACCTGTGCAAAATACAGACATCCAATGTAATGTCCAAGGGGAGAGAATAAAAGTGGAGTAAAAGAGGAAGCAATAAATAAAGCGCACAGTGGCCAGCGAGCATCTTTACCAAGTTTGATCTCTGGACCTCCACGGTGGGAGAACTCTGGCTTCCACACTCACGCCATGGCCTGCACACACATACCCCCGTGCCCCATAAGTAAATTTAATGAAAAGAAGATTGCATGGCTTTAAAAAATGCAACGTAAAGGGTTTGAACACACTTAGAACTAAGACATAGCACTCAGCCAGGGGCGGGTTTCCGCTTCTTCCCAAGCTTATTCTGGGAGGCTGCGGACATCAAGCATGTGAAACACAAGCTAGACTGACTCTTTGTCATGAGCTCCACCTTCGGCAAAGGAACTGATCAGAGCTAGAAATTCCTTCGGCAGGAAGCTGTCACCAGGGTGGCACCCAGGAAGCTGCTCCTGGCTGCAGAGTCTGCTGCTGAGATGACCTCAGAGCCCTGATGTAGGAGACACCACTTGACAGCACTGGCAGAGCCAGATCGCCTGCTGCCATGGATCCACTGCAAGCAGCCCACCTGGGTCCTCGGAAGAAGAGGCCCAGGCAGACGGGCACCTCGGTGGGCACCACATCTCACGACATCAGGTTTCGAGACTTGGTCCTCTTCATTTTGGAGAAGAGAATGGGCACGACTCGAAGAGCCTTCCTCATGGAGCTGGCCCGGAGGAAAGGGTTCAGGGTGGAAAGCGAGCTCAGGTAGGACAGCCCTGGTCACTTGGCAAGCAGGTGGGGGCCTTGAGGACATCTCCAAGGGACCCAAGGAGACAGCTGGCTAAGGGAGACAAGACGGGTGCAGGCTGAACGAGATCAGATGGGAAGTAATTGGCACCAAAAGATAAGATTTTTAAAAATCGGCTCCTCATGACTGACTCTGAGATGAATTGCCCAGGGGTGATAAGAAAGAAAAAATTCATCAGAAAACTTGACATGGAAATCACTCAGTTCCATGTTCTACCATACTGAGCCAGCACCACTGGGTGCAGCTGTTTAGACTGCTGCTTTGGGGTAGAGAGGATGGGCTGACGGTGTGTCTCTGACTTGACACACACCTGGCTAGTGCCTCAGTGATGGTTTTCCAAAGAGTGGTCCAGGCCAAGAGGCTTTGGGATGGGATGTTGGTTAAGGGTGTTTGTCTAGGGGTAACAGACGCCACCACAGAGTGCTGTGATAAGAGGGGGGGAAAGAGGTAGTTGAAGCCACCATCTGGACCCAGCTAGACAGTCACTGTCAGGAAGCAGCGGTTACCATGGTGTTTCTGAATATTCTATACGTTCACCGTCTTGAATCAATGAGGAGAATAGAAGTGATTCAGAAAGCCCCAGTAAAGGCCCTGGTACACAAGGTGGCTGCAGACAGAACTGCTGGAGTTACGGCGGGGGACTGTGGGTGACCCACTCAGTTCTCTGTGTGCGACTGTGCACGGGTGGGCTGAGCATAACATGTCAGGGATGCTATGACTTTTACGTGATATTTTGAATTTTAAGTCTTTGAGTTTGACAAGAAGATTGTCAAACATTTCTTGCTGGTGAAATGCGTGCTTTGAAGCAGTGCAGAGACACATTTCCAAGGTCAATAACCAGGCATGCCAAATTCCACACACCAAACTAAGGGGACAATTTTTCGTTTGCTAAAATATCCCCAATCAAAATTTCCTGAATTTCTGAGGTTCTCTTTTCTGAGTTCTTGCCACATGGTCTCCTGCTCTGTTTCGTTATAAGTCATTACAGTCACTCTCAGCTTTGTTCCCGAACATTCTTTTCACACAAGATGAATTTCACCTAATTTTTTTACTATAACTGATCTGTTAGACTTAAATACAGTGTTAGCATTCAAAGAGAAAGAAACTAGATAGATCAAGGAAGGGAACAAAAACAAGAAAAAAAGAGAAATTTAAAAACAGAAATGAAAATTTTTAACACATATAAAGCTGCTTTTCGTGGTAAAGAAATCGAGCAAGGGCCAGCGAGAAAGGTGAGAGCCGTCTGCCTGGGGCCACTTACTCAAAAAGCGCTCTGGTAACCGGTCCAAGCTTCAGGTGGAGGCCCACTGACTGAGTAACGAACTGAGCAGGTTGGCGGGGTCAGGTGTTTAGGGTGGTCATCAGGATGCAGGGAACTTTGTCGGCAAAGGGAATGGAAGAGACAGAGCAGCGCCCCGGGTGCTGACTGCGAGGACTGTGCCCGCTGCTCGGGAGACAGAGTAAACGGGTGCCGGCGAGGAAGCCACCGCTGTGCCTGTGATGGAGCGGAGTTCTCAGGCTGAGAGCACGGACACACTCAACACATGTGTGCGCCGTAGAGGAAAATAAACCACAGGAAGCAGAAGCCCCGGCGCTAACAGAATCTCTGTGCCCAGATACAGAGTCATTAATTTCTTAGGAAGAAACTTCTAGACCTCCTGACTCTAACCCTTCCCAGACCTGTGGTTCGGTACATTCTCCTCTTGGCTCCCTAACATTCAGATGAGTGTTCTATCTGGTGTGATGCTGAGCAAGAGAAAGGATGTCAATATGCTTTGGCAAAGTTCACAGTGAAAAGTGCATTATTCTCTTGTTAACTGGTTAGGTCCATTGACCTGCACAGTCAAACTGAAAGAAGATTGTTTCTCCGCAATATAAACTAGGTCAGATGACAGGAGCAAGCAGGAAGGCAGCCCATGAAAACACTAGAAGCCGTTATCTGGTGTGGGAAGGCGTATGCTCATAGTTCTGTGTCTTCGAATTTCTTTTTCAATGAATACATATTTGTTTGTTTGTTGAGACAGGGTCTCTCTAGATATCCTGGCTGTCCTAGAGCTCACTATATAGGTCAGGCTGGCCTCAAACTCATAGAGATCCTCCTGCCTCTGTTTCCCAAGTGCTGGGATTAAAGGCATGTACCTCCACACCTGGCCCTAGACATACATTTGTTAAAATGATGATAAAACCTACAAAATTGCTTAGTGGGCAAGTGTGTTTGTTGCCCAGCCTGACGACCTGAGTTTGATCCCTGGTAACCACATGGTAGAAGGAAAGAAGCAATTTCTGTAAGCCAGCTCCTACTTCTACACACACACACATACACACACACATGCACACAAACACACATACACACACAATAAATAAATGTTAAAAAAACTTTTAATTTGTGGGTGGAGAGATAGCTCAGAGATAGCACTGATTGCTCCTCCAAATGACCCAGGTTGGTTCCAGCAGCCACAGCACAGTTCTCAACCATCTGCAACTCCAATTCCAGGAGATCTGATGGCTCCACGTGCACCCGGCACCCTAGTGGTGCACAGACATACATGCAAGCAAAACTTCTATACATTAAAAAAAATCAATCAATTGATTAATTAAGCCTTGTGGTGGTGGTGCACAGCTTTAATCCCAGCACTCGGGAGGCAGAGGCAGGTGGATCTCTGTGAGTTCAAGGCTAGCCTGGTCTACAGAGCAAGTTTCAGGACAGACTCCCAAGCTACACAGAGAAATCCTGTCTCAAAAAACCAAAAAGAAGAAGAAAAAAAACCCTCAATTTTTAAAAATATAATAGAAAATTAACAATAATAACAGATAACAGGAAGTTGCAGTTATCACCATCATCATCGTGATTATAAAGAAAGAATACTTGTAGCACATGCGAAGTGGCTCAGCAGATGAAGTCACCTGTGCAAACCTGGCAACCTAAGTTCAACTCGTGGATCCCAGGTAGAGGAGGAAGAAAACTAACTATACTGAGGTGATTTCTGACCTCCATATGTGCACCATGTCATAGGTTAACACGCAGGCACATGTACAATAATATTAATGATTAATAATAAAAATTAATTAAAAGGTAAAAGGGCAAGGGTACCAGTTAATGGTGATTGCTACACTTCTTTCTTGGTTTGTAAAATTCAAAGCCCAAGGCGAGAAGCATCCTGCAGTGTCCATACCCCCTGTATACTTTTGGCTGCCAAGAGGACCAGTCTCGGTCTTACCTTACCTGAGATTCTCAATGTATTGAACTCTCTGGAGTGATTCTGTTCTCTCTATCACGAATGTGTTTTTTGAGTGGAATGCCCCACTCTTCTATGTGCCAAAGGAAGCTGGTTCCTAAAACATGAGTGAGAAGACAAGTCCCTTAATGTAGTTTTGAACATCAAAAAAAAAAAAAAAAAAGATACTGGATTTACTCCAAGACCAGCATCCTAGACTTTATAGCTAACTTCAACTCACCTAATCCAGACTCAAAAAATGGACTCAAATCTCCTGTTTTCTCTGCCCCAATTGCATCCTGAGTTCCTATAGGGTGAGCTACTTGAAAGCTCCCACCAGTCATCCACCCTTCTCTATAAATACATTTTGCTACATTCCCCTATGTCTTGAAACAAATCATCGCAATTGAGGCAGAGGAGCTATGACCAAGAAGGATGGAGTCCCATCTTTCTATTCATCTAGGACCTTCACAAGCTGCTGCAAATGCACCAGAGAACAGCATCATCAGGCCAAGTCGTTTGTAGGACGTTAATGACATTCATTCATGGAGGATGTTGTCTTCACTGAAAGCGAAAATCATTCTCACACCACCACAAAAGACTGTGAGTGTCTGCTCTGTGGAAACCGAACCTGGAACCTCTGCAAGAACAACAAGAGCTCTTAACCACTGAGTCAACCCTGGAGCCCCTCGATTTCTTTTCTGTTGCCATGATAAAAAGCCTGGACTTCGGAAGACATTTGCTCAGGAACTAGATGTGGGGAGCAGGGGAAAGCCTGAGGGAATGTGCATTGTTAACATGGGCACCAGCAGACCCAGGACCAATGCCGCAGACCCATGGGAAATTGGCAAAGCCTTCCCCTGTTCTGGCAGAGTGTATAAAAACTAGCGACTCTTAGCTGGTGCCTTTCCATCAGAATGTACATAGCCCACCTGATTCTAGCTTTGCTGTGTCCATGTGTCTTTCATTTCTTTAGTATCTGTCCCCTCTTCACTCCCTCACCACCCCCGTCAGGTCAAGGCAGTAGGCCATGCAGGCTGTGGGAGCTGCAGAGAGGACTCACAGGAGCACTAGCTGCTCTCCCAGAGGATCCAGGTTAGATTCCCAACACCTGCGTGGTGGCTTACAGCCAACTGAAACTCCAGTCCCAGGGGATCCAATGCCTGCCTCTGGGTTTGTTGGGCACTGGGCAGGCACCAATGTGGTTCCAAACTCATAAAATTAAAAAGATATTTGCTCAGACAGTAATTTACCTGATGATTATTAAACCACCCAAGGACCCTGTTAGTAATTTTTGTAATTAAATACATTTTTCCTTCAGTCTCTGGTCTCTAGTTTTGTAATCATTAACCTAATAAAAACTTTATTTTTTTATACATTCGAGAGCAAAAAATAGAAAATTTATTCCTGTTCTGGTCCAAACTACTTTCTATTTCAAGTTAATGAGAAATTTCATAATCCCATTAAAGGTAGTTAAAGCACCAGGTGAGATCCTGGCCGGGGCTGGAATAGAAAGCTCTCTCTCTCTATTGATGCTGCTGTGTGTTGTTTGAAATCAACCTCAGTCGCTTTACTTTCAAGGATTCTGAAGCACACTGGTTGCTAAGAGAACTGGCTGAGATGGGGTGGGGGTGGGTTAAGCCGGCTTCTCTAAGCAGCTCAGTTTAACTATAAACACTGCTAAAGTCATTGTTTACAAAATACGGGACATGACTTCTCCCCGGCAACAGAGAGAAACATGG